ATAAGTAACCAATGGCGGCTGCCTTCAGCACATTGAAGCCAGTGTCTGCGACAGCGATGAAAACATGACCAGAAACTGCTTCACCAGAAATGAGTCCAACTCAGGCTGAGTGTTGCAGGTGTCCCTGTCGGATGGTAGGCTTTTAAACCCCACTTTATTGAGGGACAATGGACATACAAAGCTGTATATGTTCAAAAGATGCAACTTGGTGAGTTCGGAGACAAATAGACTTTAATTTTTGTTTGAAAATGCAAATGCAACCGAGGACATTTGTGAACATCTCTACTCAGTCCATCCTCTGCCCACATCACTGCAGATGAATCGCAGCCACAAGACACTGCGCTTCCCTGTCTCTTCCTGAGAGCGACTCCTGGGTCTCGCATGGGGGAGGGGATCCCAGAGACTCCGACCCACCTGCAACCCAGGTCTCACAGGCACCGAGGAGGCAGGAGAAGGTGGGAGCAGGGCTTGAGAAGGGTTGTGCCCTCATCTGCCCATATGTCCCATGTCCCCTTCATTTCTCCTCTGACCTGGCTGAGATTCTGTGGACATTGGCTTGCCGGGGCCTGGGCTGAGAGGGTGGGAGCAGGTGGTGAGTTAAACCAGGTCAAGGCCAGGGAAACCCACTGGGGAGAATCCCGGAGACTGAGGGGGAAGGAGAGAAACCAGAGAAGAGGAAGGGAGAGCAGGGCATACACAGTACACACAGGTGGGAGGGGGTAGGTCAGAGGAGGGGTCACAGAGGTGGCATCTAAGTGGCAGAATAGTAAGACTCCCATTGATTCAGGACCTGGGATTCAGGCTCTGTGCTGAGCATGTTAATGGCACAACACACCCCATGGTATTCACCCCCACATGCGTGGAGAAGGTGACATCATTACCCAAAGTCCCATGGACGTCCAGCTGCCCACATGTCCTTCTGCGAATAGTCCAAGAAGCAGGTTGGCTGGGCCCAGCTCCCAGAGCAGAGGGTGGGGGCTGTGCTCTCCAGCTGGGCAGCCGGCTCCCGCAGCTCAGATGCTGGCTGTCTTCTCAGAAAGGCGCTGGAATGCTCTGGTGCGTGGTGGGGCCTCCTGTTGGCATGGGATTAGGCTGCCGGCCTTAATGGACATTTTATAAAGACGTTAGACTACATGGGACAGCTGCTATGACATGGGAAGTGACCCAAGAGGGGAGCACCCTGGCTTTTCTGGTTTCGAGATCAAGAAATGTCCCTGCCTCGGTTTCCCCTTTCTCCCTAAACGCCATCTCGCCCCTCTCTGCACCTATGTTTCCCTTTCTGTGTCCCCTCTCCTGCTCCTTGGTCTGTCTTCCTCTGTGCCCCCCCCCTCCTGAGGTTGTGCTCACCCCTCAACCACAGCCTGTCACATGTCCCCCAAATCCCTGGCTAAGCTCCCTATATTTTGCTTGAGGTTGGTAAGAGGATTGGAGCGTTTGCTAAATGGGACCAGGACAGGGTCAGAGAAAGGCTTTGGGAGACTTAGGGGCCAGGACAGCCACAAGAGGGCGGCAGAGGAAGCTGGAGACTGGAGACAGAGGGAACATGTAGTTCAAGCATGTCAAACTCCGGGCGGGCAGCCGGCATGGAGCCCACAAGAAATATTTTTGTGGCCCAGGCAATATAACGATATGTAAGAAACGTTTTACTAAAAATTCTGTAACCTAATTTTGACAATATTCTGTTATGCATAATTATTAATAACGAAATACAACGTTCCCTAATGACTGATTACTATAATCGTGTCGCACTCATTTCCCTTAAGCGCCTTGTGCACAGGCGAACCATTTCTCTCCACTAATACTAGCAGCGAATATAGTAGCAGCCGATTGCCACGTCATTCGTCCTGGACTGACTTGTTTGGTGTGCGCAGCAGGAAATATTTCACTTTCAGAGAACAAGAAAAATAGGTTTATTTGCACCGTGCTCATTAATTTGTGCAGTGATTCAGTGTCTGGTAAGTTAATGTCCAAGGAAAAATGTCAATTTTTATTAAAATGTTCTATTATTTGATGTTAACGATGGCTCCTTTATTTCAGCCCTTTGTATTCAGCATGTCTCTATCGAAATAAACCTATGTTTTATGAAAATTGAAGCTTTTGTTTTATTTTGCGGCCCACATAAACTTAAACCTTGTTTGGCTCCTTTATTTCAGCCCTTTGTATTCAGCATGTCTCTATCGAAATAAACCTATGTTTTATGAAAATTGAAGCTTTCAGCCGAAACCGGTTTGGCTCAGCGGATAGAGCGTCGGCCTGCGGACTGAGGGGTCCCGGGTTCGATTCCGGTCAAGGGCATGTGCCTTGGTTGCGGGCACATCCCCAGTGGGGGGTGTGCAGGAGGCGGCTGATCGATGTTTCTCTCTCATCGATGTTTCTAACTCTCTGTCTCTCTTCCTTCCTCTCTGTAGAAAATTAATAAAATATATTAAAAAAAAGAAAAGAAAATTGAAGCTTTTGTTTTTTGCGGCCCACATAAACTTAAACCTTGTTTATTTGGCCCGTGTTAGCCTTTGAGTTTGACATGCTCGATGTAGATAGTCAAGTTCATAGATAATGTGGATCCAAAATGCAGTCAACCTCTGTTCTTGTACATCTGGAACAATTAGGATCTCAACCCAGAAAAATGTCTTGGTTGACACCCAAACTTCAGTTTTTGACCAGACAATCCCTTCCTGCTGATACCTCAGCATGACAAAAAGCACCTCTCAGGCAACAAACAAAGGAGATAGAACACTTTTGCTGCTGGGGAAATCCACCCTTAGCACATTTTTTAAAAGATAAAGAGGACATCAAGAGTGCTGACATTGCTAAGGGTGTGAAAGTGCCCCCAACACAACAATCCCAGGCACTTGAATAGATAGAAACCCTGTTGTTGATTGGAGAAAGGAAAGCCTTCAGGGCTAGTAGGGTGTGGTTCAATACATTTAAATAATCTGTTTATTCACACAAAGGTTAAACCCTTTTTATCAGTTGGTGGTCTGGAACAGATTAATGCCATTTACATAATGTCTAATGGGGAGGGGGGAATGCTTGGGTTTTCAAACAAATTGCTTCGCTAACGGCCTTCTAGAACTAATGAAGTTTGAGAAAGGAGGTTCCACTGTACAGATTTTGGGATAGAAAGCAATGTTCATTGACCCTTGACTTACTGTTTATTTATACATGATTCTTTTTAACAATTAATTTTACAGAGAGGAAGGGAGAGAGAGAGAAACATAGAAACATAGGTCCCCTGCCTCCAGAATGCTCCATGATTGGGGATGGAACCCAAACCTGGGTCTGTGTCCTGACTGGAACCCAACCTGCCACATTTTAGTGTCAGGGACAAGGCTCCAATCAACTGAGCCACACATTCCGGGGTGACTTATTATTCTTTTCATCGGTCTGTGGAATGAAGGGTCCAACGTTCAATTCTGACCAAGGGCACATGCCTGGGTTGAAGGCTCGATCCCCAGTAGGGGCTGTGCAGGAGGCAGCTGATCAATGATTATCTCTCATCATTGATGTCTCTATCTCTCTCGCTCTCTCTCCCTTCCTCTCTTAAATCTATAAAGAAATATATCTAAAAATAATAAATAAAGTCATTGTTAGCCCTAACCTGTTTGGGTCAGTGGATATACCGTTGGCCCAGGGACTGTGGGTCCCTGGTTAGATTCTTAACAAGGGCACTTACCTGGATTGTAGGCTCTATATCTGGGCCCGGTTGGGGTGCCAGTGGGAGGCAACCAATCGCAGTGTCTTTCTCACATTGCTGTTTCTTTCCGTCCCTTCCACTCATTCTAAAAATGAAAGGAAAAATATCCTGGGGTGAGGATTCACAATAATATATATAATTTATTTTAAAAATATAAAACAATCATTGCTATTCATGTAATTCTTGCCATTGTTTTCTGGTTGGTGTTGTTGTTGCTTTTAATCTTCTTCCATTCCTTTCTTATTCTACTGCTATGTTGATTTTGTGTAGTGTTATCTTTGAATTCCTTCCTCCTATTTCTTGTGTATGTCTTGCACCGGTTTGACTTGTGATTAAATGGACCCTTCACTTATGACATATCTCCAGCCACTCTATGAATTGACAGTTGGAAATCCTTGATGAAAAAATAACCCAAAATTGAACTCCTTTCTCACCGAATCAAGACCAGATGTATTAATGGCCAGTTTGCAACCAGAAGAGGAGATACAATGAACACGACTTCTATAAATTTGTATGTCAATTTGTAAGTGAAGCTTATGAAAGTCATTTTAATTTTTAATCCATTTATTATTTTGCAGCACGAGTTTTCCACTGATGAAAACGACAAAGACATACTCTAACAACAGGTAATGAGTCATAGTGAAATAGATTACATTAAAATCAATAAATTCTACCAATGGAAAATACAAATGTGACAAAGTTGGTAACACGTTCATTGCCGAGAAATAGAAGCAATTCAAATATGTTATGAAAATTAATAAAAATATAGATACTTTATGAGTTGACTATTCCTGGTGTCCAATGATGCCGCGAGAAGGGGGACAATTCTCCGAGTCCAGGGAATGCGATGGGAAAAGCACCAGGAAGCCGCGAGTCACAGATGTGCACACTGGAAAAGCTCGCCCAGTCCTCCGGGCGCCAGAGCACGCCGCCAGGAGGAGCACGGAGGCTGGGCTGGGTCCTTGGGAAAGTTCTGGCCTGCAGCTCTCCAGTGGATCCCGCACCAGCAGCAGCTATTGCGCTCCCACCCTGAGAACAGGCAGCGAGGTCACGTGCGCCCTAATGGGCTCAGCCTGGACCCTGGACAGAGCAGCTGGACGCCACGCGCATGCGCAGTGGCCACGAAGGGGGCAGAGCCCAGGCCACCTCCCCAAGGTGGATGCTTAGAGGTGCGCCAACTCTGCACAAGAGCAACTGGCGGCCAAGACACACTGACTGGCGCTTCTCGCACCCGCGTGGGCGCACACCCGGGTCCCCCTCTGGTCCATCCCGCGGCATCTGCAGGACTTGGCGGGGACAGAATCCCTTAGAGATCCAGGAGCTTGGAGGGATGCTCCTCATGCTCAGCCCCAGGCTGGCAGGAGGAAAAGTGCCCCTCCCAGGGGCCTTTGGGTGAGCGCAGCTCAGTGACTCTCGGGGTCACAACAGGGTTGGTAGAGCAACCTAAGTCGTAGGGGCCCTGAGGCCAGGCTCTGGCCTGGGCTGGAGCTGGACTTGGAGCTGGAGCGAGTGCCGCGGGGACCGTGCCCTGGACGCCCTGCGCAGGGCCCCAACAGGCCTGGCTGTAGTTGAAGGCGCGGTGATCTGCTTCAGGGAAGACTTCGAAGGGGCTGTGCGGAGGGGGGCTGCAGAAAGCTGGGCCCCCGTGGTGCAGGGGGGCGGCGGGGAGCACAGGGCCGGCTGGGAACACAGGCTCCTCAGGGAACACAGATGAGGCAGCCAGCACAGGGCTGGCAGGGAGCACAGGGTACCCCTGGAATGCAGGGCCCCCAGGCGCAGGCTGAGGGGCGGGGGCTCCCGGTTCCTGGGACGCAACGTGGGCTCCCTGGCCTTGCTGACCGCTTAGTCGCTGCAGCCTGCGGTCTTTGGCCCTGCGGTTCTTGAGCCACACCTGGGGAGAGAGGGGACAGGGAAGGGAGCAAGTGTAAGAGGGGAGAAGCTGGGCGCAACCCCCTGCATCCAGGGCTGAGGAGGCTCAGGGAAGAAGGGCGGGCCTCACCCTCTCCCTCCGCCCCCAGACCCAACTATTGGCGCGGGGTTGGCTTGGGCTCCAGGGAAGGCGCAGAGGGCAGGAGGTCTGTGGCCGTGCCTGGAGAGAAGCGAGGGGCTGCATCGTGTTGTAGGGTTTGCCTCACACCGGGCTGAGGTGGACTCGGGGTCCATCCCCGGACCACACGGCTGACCCAGGGCAGCACTTGGTCCTTCTTGCCTGTTCTCCCCTCCTCCCACCGACCCCCCCACCCCCTGTTTCGAGGAAGGGCATGGATTGGGCCGGGGGGTCGGGGGGCAGCGGGCAGCGGGTGCGAGTGGGGGCTGTACCTGCACTTGGTGCTCCTGCACCTTCACCTGACTCGCCAGGGTCTCCCGTTCCTCGTAGGTCCCGTAGCGTTTCTTCTTGTAGAATTCCTCCAGCTGCAGCCGCTGTTCTATGCTGTACACCGTGCGCTTCTGCCGCTTCTTCTTCCGATGGGCTGGGGAAGGTGGAGACCCTGGCAGAAGGGGAAAACAGGCTGAGATGAGACCCACAGACAGTCCGCAGCTCACCAGGCCCTTGGGAGAGGCGGGGTCCCCAGGCGCAGGGCAGCTACCGCGCTGTGGACCAGAGCCTGGCATCTGACCCACACCCCCAACTGCCCGCCCCGACCCCTGACCTCTGTAGGCCTGGGCCTCCACATCTCCGAAACGGGCCCGGGAGCAGCGCCTGCGTGCTTCTTGCGGGGCCCACAGCCAGGCACAGCGGGGCCTCAAACTCACCCAGGCTGGTCCCTGGGTGGGCGTCCCCTCTCGCGGCCCTCACCCTGAAGGTGTCATTCCATCCCCCAAACCCACCAAGCCTCCCAGAGAAGCTGGCCCTGGTCTGGATGCCCAGAAGCCTCCAGTCTCAGCCCCAGGATCCCACCTCCGGTCCCCAAGCCCTCACGTTGGGCCCAGACTCACTGGTGGGAAACCGGGTTCTTGCATCCTGGAAGGTTCCTGCATCCTGGATGCTGCTGGGCCCTCTGCGCTAGAAGCTCTCACCACCAGCCCTGCCAGTGCCGCCTTAAATACCTGGTAGGCACCCACCACCCACTGGGCCCACCCTAAGGGTTCAGCCAGGGATTCATCCTCATCCCGCCCTCAGGCCCCGCCCCGTGGGGGTGGGGAGGCGCAATCATTCATTAGTCCTTTGATAGCGAAACTATTGCACCTGGTCCTTTTCCTGGGGGCTGGGAGCGCCCAGGAGCCTTCAGTCTCAGCCCCAGGATCACCCCTGCACAGCCCTGTCTGCTGTCTTCTCCTCCCTCCCAGCCGACCATGTTGGCAGACTCACATGGGGACGACTCAGGTTCCTGCATCCTGGATGCTGCTGGGCCCTCTGCGCTAGAAGCTCTCACCACCAGCCCTGCCAGTGCCGCCTTAAATACCTGGTAGGCACCCACCACCCACTGGGCCCACCCTAAGGGTTCAGCCAGGGATTCATCCTCATCCCGCCCTCAGGCCCCGCCCTGTGGGGGTGGGGAGGCGCAATCATTCATTAGTCCTTTGATAGCGAAACTATTGCACCTGGTCCTTTTCCTGGGGGCTGGGAGACGTCAGGGGCCAGACAGCCTTGGGCTTCCTTTGTCTTTCAATTAGATCTTGTCATCTATTTATACTTGAAGAGATTATCACCAGTTAGGCCTGCTTGAGATTTTATGGTTTTCTGAATGTTTTAGAATCCTCTTTTCCTCTTTTATTTTCCTGCTTTCTTGTCCTGTATGTTGAGGACTTTCTGTAGTGCTATGTTTGAATTCCTTTCTCTTATTTCTCGTGTACCTCCTGTAGACTTTTGGTGTGTGGTTACCTGGACCCTTGACTTAGGACAAATGAACAGCCTCTCCTTACATTGGAGGTTGAAAATCCAGAAGAAAAACACACACACACATCCCAAGCCACCCCGAAACTGAACCCCTACCTCACACCACACAGGATCACTACTAGATGTATTCAAGGACAGCTTACAACCAGGAAAGCAGAGACAGTGGATAGGGCTTCTATAGCAGTGATGGCGAAACTATGACACGCATGTCAGAGGTGACACGCAAACTCATTTTTGGGGGGTTGATTTTTTTTGTTAAATGGCATTTAAATATATAAAATAAATATCAAAATATAAATCTTTGTTTTACTATGGTTGCAAATATCAAAAAATTTCTATGTGTCACGGCACCAGAGTGAAGTTAGGGTTTTTCAAAATACTGACACACCAAGCTCAAAAGGATCGCCATCACTGTTCTATAGAGTTTTATGTCAATTTGAAAATGAAACATGTGGTCAAGGTCATTTTTATCTTTTATTAATAAATTCATTAGGTTTGAGGGCATCCGTTTGCCACGGATGGAAAGGACAAACAGATATGTAACAGGCAAGGAGAAGCACTGAAATGGTCCTTAAAATCCAGAAATTCTACCGATAAAAAAAATACAAATGCGACCGATGTTTGAAAGAGTTCCTTGTGGAGAAATGGCATCAATTCCAATGAATGCAGAGAAATGAGCAAAGAAATAATACAATCATATAAAATAAAATAAAACCCCCAACACGTGATGAGTGTTCCCGGTGTCCAATGATGCCGCGAGAAGGGGGTAAATTCTCCGAGTCCAGGGAACGCGATGGGAAAAGCACCAGGAAGCCGCGAGGCACAGATGTGCACACAGGAAAAGCGCGCCCAGTCCTCCGGGCGCCAGAGCACGCCGCCAGGAGGAGCGCGGAGGCTGGGCTGGGTCCTTGGGAAGGTTCTGGGCAGCAGCTCTCCAGTGGGTCCCGCAGCAGCAGCAGCAGCAGCTCTTGTGGTCCCAGCCCTGAGAACCCTCAGCGAGGTCACGTGTGCTCTAATGGGCTCAGCCAGGACCATGGACAGAGCAGCTGGACGCCTCGGGCATGCGCAGTGGCCACAAAGGGAGCAGAGCCCAGGCCACCTCCCCCAGGTGGATGCTTAGAGGTGCGCCAACTCTGCACTACTGGCGGCCAAGAAGCACTGACCAGCGCTTCTCGCACCCGCGTGGGCGCACACCCGGGTCCCCTCTGGTCCATCTCGCGGCATCTGCAGGACTTGGCGGGGACAGAATCCCTTAGAGATCCAGGAGCTTGGAGGGATGCTCCTCAGGCTCAGCCCAAGGCTGGCAGGAGGAAAAGTGCCCCTCCCAGGGGCCTTTGGGTGAGCGCAGCTCAGTGACTCTCGGGGTCACAACAGGGTTGGTAGAGCAACCTAAGTCGTAGGGGCCCTGAGGCCAGGCTCTGGCCTGGGCTGGAGCTGGACTTGGAGCTGGAGCAAGTGCCGCGGGGACCGTGCCCTGGACGCCCTGCGCAGGGCCCCAACAGGCCTGGCTGTAGTTGAAGGCGCGGTGATCTGCTTCAGGGAAGACTTCGAAGGGGCTGTGCGGAGGGAGGCTGCAGAAAGCTGGGCCCCCGTGGTGCAGGGGGGCGGCGGGGAGCACAGGGCCGGCTGGGAACACTGGCTCCACAGGGAACACATTTGAGATATGCAGCACAGGGCTGGCAGGGAGCACAGGGTACCCCTGGAATGCAGGGCCCCCAGGCGCAGGCTGAGGGGCGGGGGCTCCCGGTTCCTGGGGCGCAGCGTGGGCTCCCTGGCCTTGCTGCCCGCACAGTTGCTGCAGCCTGCTGTCTTTGGCCCTGCGGTTCTTGAGCCACACCTGGGGAGAGAGGGGACAGGGAGCAAGTGTAAGAGGGGAGAAGCTGGGCGCAAACCCCTGCATCCAGGGCTGAGGAGGCTCAGGGAAGAAGGGCCGGCCTCACCCAACTATTGGCGCGGGGTTGGCTTGGGCTCCAGGGAAGGCGCAGAGGGCAGGAGGGGCAGGGCTTGGACACCCAGGGACCAGACAGGGGTCTGGGAGAGAGGGTCCCCGGGTTCCCAGAGGCCCAGAGGTCTGTGGACGTGCCTGGCGAGAAGTGCGGGGCTGCATCGTGTTGTCGGGTTTGCCCCACACAGGGCTCAGGTGGACTCGGGGTCCAGCCCCGGACCACACGGCTGACCCAGGGCAGCACTTGGTCCTTCTGGCCTGGTCTCCACTCCTCCCCCCGCCCCCCTGCTTTGAGGA